AAAAATGTTCGATATAGTGCACGATATAGGCACGTGCTATGAGTGACGCAGACAGCACACACAAACGCGAACACATGCTGAATTGAGTGCTGTGCCTGCCTGTGATGAGGAGATTGTGAATAAAGAATGAATATTATTCGAATTAAAAATAAACATTTGCATTTGAATGTTAGGAGTGCGTCAGGGAGCGTCATCAGTGGCACGCAAGATGCGGTGATGATGTAAGTTGCATTTGTTGCATTTTAATGTTTTGTTAGTCTAGCCCACGAGACGCGCCGCTGCTGCGTTATTCATTCAAAATAATTTTAAATATAGAAGCTCAATGCGGAGAAGATCATGATTAGGTTAAAACCGAAACCAAGCCATTCACACAGAACGCATATTCAGCGCATTTTTTAGACGGACAAATATGACTGCTGCACTCGCTTCTGACACAAGATATTTGATTTTTATGAGTTAATTTAGACGTAATGCACGTTTTTATTGTTACTTCCTAGCGTTGACAATTTAAATGTGCTGCATTATTTTGCTTATTGCGCCCTCGGGAGACAATTAGACCTATACAATAAAGACCTATTTAATCTTTAGAAATTAGATATTTGTTTTTTATTGTGTTTGATTGTTAAAACAAAAAATATTTGTTTGTCTCAATAAATTGTGTTAATTATAAATACAGTGGTTAAATTTAAACATTTTTTTCTATTGTTTTTTGTTTTAAAAAAGGTTATAAAAAAATGTCAATAATTATCGATACCGAACGATATGAAACATTATATCGTTGATACATTTTTTAGCTATATCGCCCAGCCCTAGTATATAGACACACTACCAATCAAAACATTGGGGTTATGTTTTTTTTTTCTTCAATCTAACAATATAAGTCTTTACTACCACTTGTTATCAATTGAACACATCCTTGCTGAATAAAAGTATTAATTTCTTTCAAAAAAGACTAAGTAAAAAATGTAGTGACCCCCAACTTTTAAACAGTAGTGTATATTGTTACAAAAGATGTCTACTTTAAATAAAAGCTGTTCTTTTGAACTTTTTATTCACCAAAGTATCCTAAAAAAAAGTATAACAGCTTCCAAAAAATATTAAGCAGCACAACTGTTTTCAACACTGATAATAAATCAGCGTATCAGAATGATTTCTGAAGGATCATGTGACACTGAAGACCGGAGTAACGATGCTGAAAATTCAGCTTTGCATCACAAGAATAAACTACATTTTAAAGATTATAAACATAGAAAACCATAATTTTAAACTGCAATAAATATTTCACAATAATACGGTTTTTCTGTATTTTTGATCAAATAAATTCAGCCTTGATGAGCAGATGAAACTTCTTTAAAAACATTTTTTTTTTTTTTTACGTACTGATCCCAAACTTTTGAATGGCAGTATATTCACATTCAAAAGTTACATATAGATATAGATAGATATAAATATAGAAATAATATATATATGAGCTTTTGTACCCGTGTCCTGATCCTCTTGATGTGTCTCAATCTCGCCAGCCATTTTGAAGCGTAGGCGTCTGATGGGTTCGCTCTACACTGATGCACCAGCGATGCCATCTATACAAGACAGGAAAGCAGATAAAACACTCATTAAAAAGGTTCAAATGCAATGGGATCATTTGAAATGATGGTTTAAAGAATGAAAACAGAAGCTGTGACCACCTTCTGAATTGTGACATATTTTCCAGCAAAATGAACAAGAAAGAAGTGTAGCATTGGACCAGATTTTCTCTGTCAGTGAAAGGCGAGTGCCGTATGCTGGAATACACTTTGATCTGGGATAGCAACATGGTGCCAGGATTGTACATAAATTCCCAAACTAAAGTACTTTCTGTCTCCTAAAGTTCCCTTGTAACCATGGAAACAAGAAGTGAATAATCCACCCCAAAAGAGTGTGATTTTTGCACCTGAAGAACACAGCCACTCCAACCACCGAAAATCAGGGATGTAAAAAGTTCTAAAAAAATGACACTTAAGTGAAAGTAATGTGACATTTTGCTCAATTAAAAGTCCAAGTATCTAGCCAAAAACATACTTCAGTGAAAGTAAAAAGTACAACTTTAAATTGCACTTAAGTATTAAAAAATTAGAAGTAACCTAGCAAACATTTCTGGTTTAAGCATTTGAAATCTTTTTCTCAATGTTAAGTGAATGAATTGCATACAGTGTTGTCAGACAGAAAAAGAAAAGGCCTTTTTTTTGCAGGGGAAAAACAAAAAACACAAGGTGCAGAGGTCAAAAATGTCCATGTGTAAATAGAACAAACTATGGAAGCTTGTTTCCACCGTGGAATAAAAAATAAAATAAAAAGGTAACTGCAACTTTTTATCTCACAATTCTGACATTTTTCCTCACAATTCTGAGTTAATATCTCTCAATTCTGACTTATTTCTTAATTCTGGCTTTTTTTCCTCTGTCTATAAACTTTTTTTTATTCTGTTATGTAAAAAAGATTGTAAGATGTAAACTCAGAACTCAGATAAAAAAGACAGAATTCTGTTTTAAAATTCCAGAGGGAATATATATATATATATATATATATAATTAGATATTTGTTTTTTATTGTGTTTGATTGTTAAAACAAAAAATATTTGTTTGTCTCAATAAATTGTGTTAATTATAAATACAGTGGTTAAATTTAAACATTTTTTTCTATTGTTTTTTGTTTTAAAAAAGGTTATAAAAAAATGTCAATAATTATCGATACCGAACGATATGAAACATTATATCGTTGATACATTTTTTAGCTATATCGCCCAGCCCTAGTATATAGACACACTACCAATCAAAACATTGGGGTTATGTTTTTTTTTTCTTCAATCTAACAATATAAGTCTTTACTACCACTTGTTATCAATTGAACACATCCTTGCTGAATAAAAGTATTAATTTCTTTCAAAAAAGACTAAGTAAAAAATGTAGTGACCCCCAACTTTTAAACAGTAGTGTATATTGTTACAAAAGATGTCTACTTTAAATAAAAGCTGTTCTTTTGAACTTTTTATTCACCAAAGTATCCTAAAAAAAAGTATAACAGCTTCCAAAAAATATTAAGCAGCACAACTGTTTTCAACACTGATAATAAATCAGCGTATCAGAATGATTTCTGAAGGATCATGTGACACTGAAGACCGGAGTAACGATGCTGAAAATTCAGCTTTGCATCACAAGAATAAACTACATTTTAAAGATTATAAACATAGAAAACCATAATTTTAAACTGCAATAAATATTTCACAATAATACGGTTTTTCTGTATTTTTGATCAAATAAATTCAGCCTTGATGAGCAGATGAAACTTCTTTAAAAACATTTTTTTTTTTTTTTACGTACTGATCCCAAACTTTTGAATGGCAGTATATTCACATTCAAAAGTTACATATAGATATAGATAGATATAAATATAGAAATAATATATATATGAGCTTTTGTACCCGTGTCCTGATCCTCTTGATGTGTCTCAATCTCGCCAGCCATTTTGAAGCGTAGGCGTCTGATGGGTTCGCTCTACACTGATGCACCAGCGATGCCATCTATACAAGACAGGAAAGCAGATAAAACACTCATTAAAAAGGTTCAAATGCAATGGGATCATTTGAAATGATGGTTTAAAGAATGAAAACAGAAGCTGTGACCACCTTCTGAATTGTGACATATTTTCCAGCAAAATGAACAAGAAAGAAGTGTAGCATTGGACCAGATTTTCTCTGTCAGTGAAAGGCGAGTGCCGTATGCTGGAATACACTTTGATCTGGGATAGCAACATGGTGCCAGGATTGTACATAAATTCCCAAACTAAAGTACTTTCTGTCTCCTAAAGTTCCCTTGTAACCATGGAAACAAGAAGTGAATAATCCACCCCAAAAGAGTGTGATTTTTGCACCTGAAGAACACAGCCACTCCAACCACCCAAAATCAGGGATGTAAAAAGTTCTAAAAAAATGACACTTAAGTGAAAGTAATGTGACATTTTGCTCAATTAAAAGTCCAAGTATCTAGCCAAAAACATACTTCAGTGAAAGTAAAAAGTACAACTTTAAATTGCACTTAAGTATTAAAAAATTAGAAGTAACCTAGCAAACATTTCTGGTTTAAGCATTTGAAATCTTTTTCTCAATGTTAAGTGAATGAATTGCATACAGTGTTGTCAGACAGAAAAAGAAAAGGCCTTTTTTTTGCAGGGGAAAAACAAAAAACACAAGGTGCAGAGGTCAAAAATGTCCATGTGTAAATAGAACAAACTATGGAAGCTTGTTTCCACCGTGGAATAAAAAATAAAATAAAAAGGTAACTGCAACTTTTTATCTCACAATTCTGACATTTTTCCTCACAATTCTGAGTTAATATCTCTCAATTCTGACTTATTTCTTAATTCTGGCTTTTTTTCCTCTGTCTATAAACTTTTTTTTATTCTGTTATGTAAAAAAGATTGTAAGATGTAAACTCAGAACTCAGATAAAAAAGACAGAATTCTGTTTTAAAATTCCAGAGGGAATATATATATATATATATATATATATAAAATATAAAACATATATATAAAACTGAATTCCAAGAAAAAAAACTCAGAATTGTGAAAGAAAAGGGAAAAAAAAACTGAATTCCAAGGGGGAAAAAAATCGGAATTGTGAGGGGAAAAAAAATCAGAATTCCAAGAACAAAAAAACTCAGAATTGTGAAAGAAAAGAAAAAAAAACTGTATTCCAAGGGGGAAAAAAACTGAATTGTGAGAAAAAAAACTTTAGAAATCCAAGAAAAAAAGGCAGAACTGTGAGATGTAAACTTACAATTCCCAGGGGGAAAAAACTGAATTGTGAAAAAAAAAAAAAAAAATTATAAAAAAAAAAAAATCGTGAAATCAAAATCGTCAATCGAATCGTGAGTTGAGTGAATCGTTACATCCCTAGCTGACTAGCATTTTTTTTTTCTCAAGCTGATGTAAAAAAAATGCCTATTATCAATAACGAAACCACTATGCTTACACATAAACAATTACTCATGCACCAACATTTTGACAAACAAAAATATCCAGTTGAAACAGCAAAATCAATGCTTGGCCACAATAGTTTTGCAGGGCTAAAAATAATTGACCAAAACTGTTAATCAAATAAAGCAGTTTAATTTACCTGAGAATAAGACAACCTGAACAGCACAAAGAGTTTAAATACCCTATTACCAACATACATACTTTAAGTTTGGTTTCGATAAATTAATTTCAGTGCAACAATAAACAATGACTGTTTATTATTAATATAAACTGGGCTTTAAGTAATTTATCACCAATAATTGTTAACAACACTGACCTGGTGGCATGCCTGGCATCATCGGAGGCATTGCTGGACCTGGGGGCATCATTCCTCTCATTGGCATCATGCTATGCAAAACAGGACCAAAGATAAATCACTGGACCATATAATATATCAGCTTATAATTCTGTAACTGAAAATTAAGACCTACCCAGGTAGCATGCCTGGCATTACTGGTGGCATCCCAGGAATCATTGGTGGGATGCCAGTCAACATAGGTGGCATGCCTTTAGGAAGAGATAAGAAGTATTAATGGGGCACACTTTTGTTTGAGAGGTATTTAAACTACTTAGGCTATTTTAAACTATTGACATGCACACCTGCATAGCCAGCACGTGGCATGCCTTGGGCCTGAGGACCAGGATGCATGCCCGCCTGGGTCATTGGGGGCATGTAGGCAGCCTGAGGCTGAGCAGCAGGCTGCTGGAAAACCACTAAAAATTGTGGGGTTGGAAATCCAAGGGGAAAAAGTCAGAATTGTGAGATGTAAACTCTGAATTGTGAGATATGAACTCACACTTCTGGGTAAAACGTCCAAATTTTGAGATACAAACTCGCACCCCACTCACAGATCAATTTTTTATTCTGTGGCAGAATTAAGCTTCCATATGAAACAGAAAAAAAGAGACAAAAGACAAGGAGGTGTCTCACATTGGCGTGGAGTGCCATCTGTCTCACGAGCAGCGGTAGATTGCGGTCAGAAACGATCTTGAATCAAAGCGGCTTGTTTCACCTTTCCGGCACTGCAGCGTCACCAGGTTACTCTTGTAGTCCAGAGGCTTTATAAGCACCTCCACGAAGTTGAACTGACCCTAAACGCATGAACGAACAAAATATCATAATTTAAAAATGCTTGTGAAAGAATGTGGCAGCAACGGAAATGAGATGTATGGGGACTCTCTCACACACCTTGATGGTGCCGAGTTTGTACTCCTCTCCGGAGTCATTGTAAACCACCACCACAAAGTCGTTCCCAATGTGGCGTTTCTTATTGCAGCAGCCCTTGTCGCTCTCGCGGTTCGGCATCAGAGTGGCTATATGGAAAATCGCTGCAGAGGAACATAACACCTGCATTAGCTTCACCTCCTGCTCCGAACACTCTTTATGAACACTTCAGACGCTGTAATGAGCATCACATAATAACGCTCAAACACTCGAAGCCAGCACTGACTGAAGTGCCTAAATAAATCATATTTCACATATTTGACATCTTCACAGGTTTGCTTTTATAAGTGGTAGGGTTTTTCTAGGAACTCTTATTATTTTGTTTAATAAATAGTTATAAATAGTAAATAATAATGATAATAATAACTACAGCTACAAGTAACAGTAGTAATAATAAATAATAATTAGAATTAATACACCTACTAGTACTTAATTATTATTATTACTATTATTATTATCAATTAGTGCTGTCAAGCGATTAATCGCATCCAAAATAAACATTTTTGTTTACATAATATGTAATTATGTAATGTTTACATAATATATGTGTGTGTACTGTGTATATTTATAATGTATATAAATTTTAAAACATTATTATTATTATTAAGAAAGATTATTTTAATGGTAACGCTTTACAATAAGGATTCATCGGTTAACATTAGTTAACATGAACTGACAATGAAAAATCCTTACAAATTGATTAATCTCAGTTCATATTAATTTCAACATTCACTAATGCATTATTAAAATCCAAAGTTTTATCTGCTAATATTAATTAATGGAGCTAACATGAACGTACAATGTTGTACTTGTATATTAATTAACGTTAACAAAGATAAATAAATACTGTAACAAATGTATTGCTCATTGTTAGTTAATATTAGTTAATGCATTAATATATAGTTTGCTAGTTTGAAAGGTTTGCTAGTATTCAATATTAACAATAACAACAACTACTTTTGTTAGTAGTAGCAGTGAGAAAGAATATTAAATAAGAATTAGAATAAATAAGAATTAAATTAGAATTAATTAAAATACACACACAAACACATATATGTATGTATGTGTATAT